GCGTTCTCACGGGGCTTTATGGGCCCGATATGCTCTGCGTCAATCATCCATAATCACTTGCTCACCTACACCACTACACCAATACACCTGCCGCGACAGCAAGAAGACCACTTGTGGAAGCAATACTGCAGCAGTCGAAGACCCTTATCTATTCGCTAATCTGACACGCGAACGTCACAAGAACTTTCAGGGTACTACTGCACCTCAACCCTACACACACGCACCATCTCGATCTTTAGCAGCACATTCACTTCGGCTTTTCGTCATCGCTTATATTTGTAGACAGATTTAGATTTTTACAACACCAAGATTTTTGCAAATACAATCCAAAGCGCCACAATCCCGCCCACACTGCGCAACCGTCGCGATGCCTCTGAACAATGGCGCCAAAGCGGCAAACGAGCACCTCATCTTCGTTAAGAACGTCCCCGGCTACATCGAAACAGACGAGTTAAAAAAGATGTACGAAAGCTACAATCCGACAAGCCTTAAGAACGTCTATCCGAATAGCAATGTTACCACCATCGTCGTCGGCTTCCGCACCAAAGCCGAAGCACAGCGTGCTCAAGAGGAGACAGACCAGACGCGCATAGCAAACGTCATTCTCAAAGTGGAAATGTACAATCAGTGGCAGTCGGTGCGATACCTGCGGGATCAAGGGCAAGCGAGTCGGCCGCTGGGTATGGCGGAGCAGGACGAACCAGGATACTTCGACGAGCCAGCGCAAGAAGACGCGCCGGTCTTCACACCACCGCTAGAACCATACGTTGCGAAAGATCCCGCTGCCGCGCCGCAGGGTACCACGTGGGCCGACATCGCTGGCAATCGAGCTGCTCCAGTCAAGCACACGACCAAGCTAGAAGGAACAGACAGCCCAGCGACCGTCCCATCCACACCCAACTTCACACCCCGCATGCCAATAGCTGTCCCGCAGAAGCTGCTCCCGCCCGGTCAACCGCAGGCTGGAAGCTCACCACCCCCAGCGGCCGTCTCACTAGGACACAGCACCCCCGAAGCCCTGCCCATCCCGCCGACCGTCACCGCCGAAAGTATCGAGAGCGGCAGCGACACCGCCGATGAGACTGAAGACCGCGATAGGATGATTAGCGATATTGCGATCTGGCAAGCGACTGCACAATGGGCGACCGAGACCGGTAGCTACCAACCCACATACCAAGAAGTAGAGCCTATGGATACTACAGCGCGGATTCGGTATCGACATGGTCGGGACTGCGTGTTTTGTCAGATGCGGAATCGCTCTTAGGGGAAAGATAATGAGCATCAAGATGAGCGTCAAGAGACGGGATCGGTCTTGCTGATGGGAGACGACACAATGTCTTGCGTTGCGGATGCTTTGGAAGGGTAGGAGACATTTGGAACCTGCCTTGGGCAACATCTGATGAAATCTTTGGGCTTTTGCTAGACTAGTCGCGATAGTCGGAGAATCAGAAGCCTGTGTGACAGTCTTTTTCTGCGGGTGTGATCTCAGTGATCAGAAAAAAAAAGTGAGCTAACACGATAGGAGAATTAATGCTTGCGAGGGGAACAAAGACGCGTCGTGCATTTGGCAGCGGCGACGCGACGGATGTGCGGGTTAGCTTCATCAACGTCATCGTGGCTTCCGTACGCGTTAGCGCACCTGCATGTAGGCAGGGGCTTCTTGCTCGGTCCGCCATCCTCAAACCATCAACCTTCATCGCTTTCATCATCAAATTCATTGCAGTCACTCATCGCAACGCTTGTGTCATTACCACCCGTTTATTTGTAAGCTTGTAATCTGTTAAGCTCTACATACCCGTGCTCTACCCATGTTGCAATGCAAATGCATGCTGAATGAAATCGCTGACATGAAATTCAGGGACATCGTACTGACCCCCATAGCTAGGCTTCTCAACCCGCTCGCGCGATGTTACCGACCATAATCTCGTGCCAAAATGTCCACTAGATCATGCCAGCAGCAGGCGCCACCTGGTTCCAGTTGCAGCCCTCCGGTGGGTTCTTGAGAATCCGAGAGACAACGAACTGGTGCGACATGTTCACATCTTGCACATCCTGCAGGCCACGGATTCCAGAGTCTAAAAAGAGAAACCTTTTCCAAAGCTCCTTGTACTCGCGGACGTGCATGGGTGTCCTCGCATTTGGCTTCATGGCTTTAAGCTTCTCGCCATATTTCTCGGCCGAGCTACGGGCTAAGTCCGCATCGACGACATCACTGTAACGACGAACTCGTGCATCAAATGCCAACTCCTTTAGATTTGCGATAATCGTTTGGCCGATGGTCTTAGGCTTCAGTGAGCGAATCGCTGCGATTTCCTCTTCGGTCAAAGGTTCGTCATCCCAAGCCAACTCTTCCACTGGGTTGGATAGCCCGGAGATGGCCGACGACGGAGCATATAGCTCAAGAGCCAGCGATGAGGTCTTTTCTATGTCGCAGCTCATGTCAACATCTCCCAAAGCGCTCGGTCGGTGAGACGCGCCGATCATCTGCTTCTCATGTATTGGAGCCTCCGTAGCGCCGAGGACGGATCCGGCAGGTGGTGATGAGGATATCTGGTCACCAACCCAGCTCTTGCAGCTTTCAACTGTGGTACGGTTGATGAGGTTCTCCTGGGTTGTTGAAGCGATGAGTGCATCTTTCATGTGCTCGGGCATGCCCGTGACCGCTCTACCACATCCTGGATCCACGGAAGCTATACCATGTGTGCCTAGCAAATGGCGATCAGCAATGGCGGGCTCCGCAGCGACAGGGTTGATCGAGTCCATATCAATATGCTCTGCTTCGGCAGCTAGCGCCCTTTTGGAGATGAGCTCCGAGCACGCCCTTATAAAAATGATCGCGGACGCCGGTTCCAGAGCGCCGTAGATGTCCATGTCTTTAGTAGCATGGATGGTTCTTGACTCGTCCAGGTTGATGACTGATGTTTCGTTGCCTGCCTTCGGATCTCTGCACCATTCGACCTTGACGACAGGATGGCCATGAGCGTTCGAATTGCTAATTCCCTCCGGATACAATACTCGCAAGTACTGCTCGCGCTGAGCTGCGGTCAAGTTCGCATCGCTCGGCTTGTCTTGTCGAGTCATCCTCCTGCAGTCAAAGGTCCATGTCTCTTTGTTCACCGAGAAGACGATCCAGGGCGCGGACTTGAACAGGTAAAGACCGTCGGGGGTGGGGAAATATCTGGAATCATCGGGTCTAGCATGAGGGTTGGTGGTCTTCTCTGAGTAGAGCTCCCTGATCATCATACCGGACTTGATCTTGTTGAACTCCTCTTCCACGGCCTTCTCCTTGATCTTGGTCCAGCCCGGGACTGATTGCATCTCTTGGCGGACTGCTTTTGCACGGGACTTTCCGTCTACTTCGGATCGTTCATCTTGGTCGACGATCTCATCGCGTATTGTACGACCGACGGAGGACCCAGTAGCAGTACGTGTGGCCACTGGATGAGGGCGCCCTGGTATTGACACCGTATAACGGCCAAGCCTCGCGGGTGTGTAACCGTGGTTTGCTTGCGGGAGACCTACTCGACTGTTAGCGCTGTCACATTCACAAGAGAATCGATCACTTACGAAGCCCATTTCTCCAAAATGGCCGATGGGCTTGGTACTCTGGCACCCTGTGCGGCTGACCCTCCCTAGTCCTGTTTGCTCTAGGCATGTCGTAACGACGCGCTCTGGATATGTCGATGCAAGTAGATGATATCGGTGGCTGGTTGGAAGAAGCGTCAGCAACCCGCCAACTGGGTCGTCGACACTCTGTGCGCAGAAGACTAGTAAACCGCCCAACGCGTAGTTGAGCTGAATTGGAAGACCGATGCGGGCGGAGTGGTTTGCGACCGCTGTTGCTAACCTTTGGAGAATAGGGCGCTGGATTGGACTAGGCGTATGCATTCATTGCGTACAAAAACAATGGTCAAAGCGCGTCCCACAGCGAAGGCAAAATTCCATAACACGTGCGACATTCTCAGCTCAGTGAAAGATCAGGCAGAGCCTGCAGGACAGGATTGTGTTTCAAGCTTTCGATCTTTTTACACCAACATCGCGTTCAGTCTGGGTTAGCACGCGGGCACATCTCGTCTCAAACGGAAGCTTCATAGAACCACGCTGTGGCCAAACCCTTGCGTACTTGTTCAGTCTTCCCAGCCGTGCTTCCTTGGATTTTGATACAACAGGAACAAATTCTCGCATCAAGCTTACATCTAGTAGTCGTGACAACACTGGAATATAGCGATGAAACGGTACATGCACTAAAATGACGATTACCGCGAACATGCGAACTAAATACGAAGTATGAACCAAGAGCGTCTGCACTGCGGACAGCTCATCTTATCATGAACCCTACCGGGCATTCTGAAGAGCGCAAACTTAGGCGATTTTTAATGACGCAAACAAACGCGAGTCTAGCGGCATACTCAACACTGACGTGCATCAATCTGAGCTCGTGAAAATGTCTTCCGGCGTCAACAATGAGTTCCAACCCCTTACTTGGAAACAAAGAACCATGCATGTCGTTCAAAGATATCAACAAAGCCACTAGGCTATTCGTGGGACGGCCTTTGTTTCCGAGCTCCCGATACACTAAGTAATCCGCTGAAGTTCAGCCCGATGCTGCCCTGGTCCAACTCGCGCGTTCTAGGCAGTAACGTGTTTTCGGAAATCAAACACTTTGCACTCCTGAGATTCCAATGTCCACATCAAACATCGATCAAGTGTCGAGCACGCAGTCGAATCACCCTGGGGCAGAGAACCCTCCACCGCATAGTCCACATTTGGAGAGCACAGAAGACCAAAATGTCATCCCAAGGACAGTCGAACCATTGCCAGAGGGATCGAGACTTTGGCCGGCCGCAGAGCGGGATGAACTGTCCATAGAAAGTTACAGAGCGGGCTCGGCTACCTTGGTTGAGGTTCCTGTCGACGGCAAGCCAGTCATGGCGCTTCTGCTCTCGCACGAATTGGGCCAACGGATGTTCAGATCTGTGGAACTACAACTTGAATTTGGGATGCTCGAAGATCGCTTTAAAGAGCAGATCCCAGCGATTAATCACAAACTATCTCACCTCCAACAGATAGTCGATTCCACGAAGTCGGGTCTAGCAAATGTCGAACGCATCAACCTTGGCTTAGTGAAGCAGCAAGACCCTAAACTTGTCGCAATGCAATCGAAGGCACAAGAGAAACTACTCAAGGATGAGGAGGAGCTAGAGCTGCTCGAAAAGGAAAAAGCAGAGCTAGAGCGCAAGGTTCACGACGCGAAAGAGGCATGGTTCGAGTTCGCGTGGAATGTGTGTGTTCACCACCATATTGCTTTCATCAAAGCAGGATTCAAAGGAGAAGGTGGGGACAGCGAAGATGGAGAAAGATCGAGCGCTGAGTCTGAACCAGGTGAAGAAGCCAGTGGCGCAAAAGAGTCGGAAAGGAAATCTAGTCCTACGGCAGCGAAAGAGGCACAGCAGCCCGTGGCTGGAAACGAGATGGCTATGGTGCTGTACACCGGTAACAATGCAAAGCAGGATACCACGATCCGGAATGCGGATGTTCCCCAAAGCAAGCCCCCTGATCTCACCATGACTCGATTCACAGCAGAGGATGAGATCAGACTCAAACTCCGCACAGCAAAGAAAGCTTTTAACAAAGCTGACGACGCACACGACAACCACCGAAAATGCTACGAACTCTCATTCCTTAGATACTGCGCACAGTACCCGACCAAACCCGAGGCCGAACTTGCCGCTCAGTTTCCCCTCTACTTCATCAGAAAGGGACAGGAACTCATAAACGCGTTACGTGTTGCGGAGAAAGCATACCATGAGGCAGAGAATCGCGCTTTGGATGCGAATGTTTTCACCATTCCAGACGAACGTATCGAAGCAAATGTTAACCCGTATCTGGATCTTGATGATCTGGACGCGAAGTTGATGCCGTGGACTGATAAGGACCGGGCACGCATTTACAATTGGCGGCATGTCGAGGCGGGTGTTCTCACGCCGCCGTCTATTCATACGATAGATACGTTCTATGATGCGAGTTGCAGTGAAGATGACGACAACACCGAGAGTGTTGTAAGCGCGCAAGACATTGAGGTTCAAAGAATAGAAGCCGCTCAACCGTCAGCACCATCCGCGAACAACAATGTCGACACCATCGCAACAACACCGGCGCAAAATGAAGCCGGGCCTCGTTCGGAGGAGCATGATATCCCAGAGGGAGTGGTCCTATTGACCAAGCCCGTTGCAAGTCAGAACTCCTACTCGTCTACTGAATTAGCGTCGACAATAGATGGCGCAGCTTCCTCTGAGGTGGTGGAAAAGCGTAAGTTCTGCGGTCAGGTACAAGGACATGATAGCTTTAGTGTTGTCGATATGAGGATCAAACGACAAAAGATAGATAGATGGCAGCGGGATTGCGCGCGGTGGAGGGCTAGTAATTTACATTTTGAATGAAAGGTATTCTCTTTCCTACTTTATTTGAATTCTTTCGCATGTTTGCCACGCCATGGCTTTCGAAAGTCTGTCCCGTCTATATCAGCTCATCCAAAGTGTGTGAAGGTCATGTGCTGCCGGGTGCAATGCAGTCAGTGAAGATGAGTGCACCCAATCCGGACACGCTTTGCCTTTCTAGGTTAGTGTAGGCTCACGATTAGTTCCCAACTTTCTCTCACAAACACGCGGGTACTTATTGCGACCTTGCCACCTCTGCTCCCCATCCGCTGAACTCATAGGCAACGCCACGACGCTGATCTAGTCATGCCTCTGTCCGATTTCCAGATACCCGATTCCGTTGAGGGCCTGCAAGCGGCTCTTAGCAACGTCGATGAAGAGTGAGTAACCCGACATCTAATCGATGGGTAACTGACTGACGTTGATTACCAGCATACACAGTACTGAAGACAAGGAACGCGAACAAGCCCGCATAGCAGATGATGATTTACGGTTGCTGGGCGCGAAACGTCTTGCCATACGCATGTAAGCTATACAAGATTGGACAGGCACAATCATTCATACTGACAGTTATAGGCTCTTGTTGTCGAAGAGAGACCAGCAGTGTCGAGAGGCTATACAGGAAATACCAAACGCGGTTCTGGAGAAACTGCCACGCGAGCTCCGAGATATGATCTACACTGAGCTATACCGCGGAAGTCAGGCCGAGCAGGACGAGCAGGACGAGCCGTACGAGATTGTCGACAACAGCTCTGAACACCCACACGACCCCCTGTATGAGTTTGCGCCTATGGTCAAAGCGTATGAGCCGCCATATTGGATGCTGGAACGTGAAGTCGGCCCTGAGTTTGCGCGCGAAGCTGTGGAGATTTGGTACAAGCTCGCCTATCTCGCGGTCGATATAAAGTTGCTACAACCACTCTTGCAAGACGATGATGGTGTCTTGTACGACATCTGGTCGCCTTCGGTCCGGACATGCGATTTCATTAGGAAGCTGGACGTCGACATCGGCCCCGCGTTGTTACCGTTGCACACAGGGCGTAGTAGACCATCGGGTCGAGCAGTACACATCCGACAAGTCTGTCGATCACTCTCTACCTTGTTGGAAGACCCGAGTGTTGCACGGAAGGAGGGGTTCAAACTGCACATTGCCTTTCAATGGGACATTTCTGACGATTGGTCCGATTACCTCAAGGCAATTTGCCCAGTGGTCTACCGTTTGAAGGCCCAAGGCTTCTTAGTGTCAGGTAGCCAAGATTATGGAGAACGCATCCGACACAAGTGCTTCCAAGCTGGCTGTCCGTGCGAGTTCTTTCGATTTGGAGACACTGATTGGGAAAGTAGCCATATCGATGATTGGTTCGACTGCTCGGAGGAGGAGTGTATGAAGAGGATAGAAGAGGAGAGAGAAAGACACTGGGATGAAAAAAGTCAGTGATACGACACAACGCACGGAAAGTGTATTTGGAGCATGAAGCCAGTCGGTAAACGGGATGGCTGGTGCTCGGGCTTTTCATCGTCACATGAACTGAAATTCATCCGCATGTAGACGCTTTGTGAGAAACATAAGTCCTAGTAAACACCCTGTTGTGCCGATCATTGTGACATCGTTGCAGCTAGCTCACGAACCGAATGCGCGCGTTGATTGAATTGTCGGCAACGGCGCTTCTAGGCGCGTGTATCGTGAGCTGAATATGAGCGACTTGGCGCGAGACGCTGGACGCGCGCTATGGAAAGACAATCATCTTCAGTAAAGCGGGCGAAAGAACGGGAAGTGAAATTCCGTTGACGCGTCCAGGAGAGAGTTGGTCACGCCCGTTCAAGATCAATATTACGGCCCTCTTCTACTGGCCAATCGCGCTGCCCATCCTCTCGCAACAGGGGTATCGGCCCCCGCAATTGCCGCCCTCATCTTCGCCACCCAAACATCAACACGGGCTTGATAAGGCCTGTCGCATCCCGCGAGTCCCTGCATAACATCCTTCCTGCGGCTATATCTTTTGTTTTGCAAAGTAACAGCGAATAAACATGCCAAAGTTCTTTAAGCGCATCTTCAGCGATGCGTTGTTTCGGAGAGAGCCGGACGTCAGCGACATGCAGCGATCGCGGCGCGTGCTGGTGAGGAGCTCGGGGGGCATGCCAGAGGAACAGACGAACTGGAGAACATCGTTTTTCGATATTCAGGTTCAGGATGAGGAGCGTCGTGCGTTGAGGGATGGGGCAAGTGTAGCCGGTAGCGACATGCGTGCCGCCGAACGACCTATTCTAGCACCGAGCCACGAACAAATACCAGTGCGCAAGCCGAGTCGCGCGCGGAGGAGATTGAGCAAGAAGCATCGAAGGCCTGCTTGAAGTGTTGTTGGAGGTATGTATGTTGTATGCGACGTCAAGTGCTCGATGCTGACACGTCTCTCTAGAAGTTCATCGCGGCGTCGTTACGACCACATGCTGGCATGATGGAAGTACGACAATATGGAGCTAAAAGAGGACATGTAATCTAGCACCAGCGACTTCCCCCAGCACGATGGATTGTGCTATGATCGAAGTGGCTACAACGCTGGCCATCACCTGCGCAGCCTGGCAGGCCAGCTACGCACATCGGTGGGAGCAGTAAAAAGGCTCTCTACAGCACACGACCCTTGGATGAAACTGTCTATGTTCATCGGACACCTAGAATATATGATATCTACTCGCAACGACAGCCTACTTAGGACAAGACGAAGGATCGATATAATCGGGGCTCGTCACGTGTTTTGCCCCTCACCGAGGCTTGGCTTGTCAGCCATTCCAGCTTTACGGAATGGATATGGATTACTGAACATCAAACGTTGTCTGACTTCCGCATCTCGTCTTCGTTTCTTCAATGTTCATCACCTTCTTTTGTTGTCTCGCTATCGACACCTTTGCAGCGCTAACTGTTATCATCGATCTTCTTTCGGCATTCGAGAATTGACCAGCCTAATAGCAACGGAAAATTCTCGATCTCCTCTGGCCATCATAGTACGTGGTATCCCCAACTAGATCTGCATGATCCCTGACCTTTGAGCTTGCACAGTTTCCTGCAATTGCTATACGATTTTCAGCTGTTAAGAAGGACTTACCGAACAACTCGAAGCTCGACATACGCTGCGCTACCTGCTCTGAGCGTTAAGGATATGCGATTATCTACGTCCCTTCTCTGCCTTCTCTGTATTTCATCGCACAGCGACGCGGTTGGCCAGCCGTGTAAATGTGTGAGTTGAGATTACGCATCCGCTGAGTACGGCTGATGCATATACCAGGCACCCGATGGTGCTTGTTGGCCTTCTATCAACGAATGGAGCGACCTCAACACGACACTTGATGGCGCACTTATCCGCAGCGTTCCACCGGGAGCAGTCTGTTACCCATTCAGGCCGGAGTTCAATCGAGAAGCCTGTGACTACGTGACGTCGCAGTGGTTTAACTCGTCATATCACGCTGCGCATCCCGTCAGTATCGACTACCCTATATGGGCGAACAACTCTTGCAATCCACTCTTTCCAAACGGCACTAGCATCGCTGGCAACCCGCATGCTGAAGTGCAGGGATGTAATATCGGCAACTACCCCGCCTACGTAGTGAATGCCACCACTGCTTCTCAAGTCAGCATAGCTTTGGTTTGGGCAAGTACAAGAAATATTCGCGTTGTCGTGAAAGCGACTGGACACTCATATCAAGGCCGCAGCACTGGTTATGGCAGCCTAAGTATATGGACGCACCACATGCGTGGCATCGATTATCTCGCCTCCTTCAAGCCCATGTCATGCCACTCTGGAACTTCGTATACTGCTGTTCGTGTTTCAGCCGGTCACATAAACATCGAAGTTCAAGAGGAAGTAGCTCAGCACGGAATGACGATCGTCACAGGTGCTAATCCTAGCGTTGGGCTCGTTGGGTGGCTCACAGGTGGTGGTCATGGACCGCTTTCGACCAGCTACGGGATGGGGGCCGACAACTTGCTTGAGGCCACCATTGTCACACCTAATGGCGAAGTCGTCCTCGCAAACCCGTGTCAGAACCAAGAATTGTTCTTCGCTATACGAGGCGGAGGTGGCGGCACATTCGGCATCATCACTGAAGTCGTCATTCGCACCTTTCCAACCCCGAAGACTACTGCACATATCTTCCAAGTCCGGTTAAAAGACTCAGGCAGAGGCACAGATTTCTATAAGTTCTTGGGATTTCTGCACGCTGATATGCAGAGGCTGAAAGAAGGCGGCATGCAAGGGTATTACTTGGTTGTGGGGCCGCCTATTGTGCCCACTCTATCATTCTCTTGGACATTTCTACTTTACAACGCACCAAGCGGAGCAGTTGAGCTACTCATGGAACCTATCGAAGCATATCTGCAGGAGCGGAAGCAGGTTTTTGAATGGCAGTCGGTAATATCGCACACGGATACGTACCTGGAGATGCACAAAGCCAATTTCACGAACGAGCAAGTCGCAAATGGTGGCTCGGCATATGGGTCGAGATTGCTCAGTGCTGAGAGTCTGGCGAATCCACACCTGACGGCGATTGTATTTTCGAAGATCGGCCCAACCGATGATGCCTTTGAGCCAAATGTAAAGGACCTCAGCTCTGGATGACATCTGTGATCTTGGCTAACATACCCATAGGGACCAGTAACTAACCCACTCCTCATCGGCCACATGATTGGTGCACCGAACGAACCAGCTTACTACCCTCTTCAAAGCAGTCTTAACCCTGCATGGCGGAACACTCTCACGCACCTTATCGTCGCATCGCCGTTCGGTGACACTGCACCCCAAGCCACTATCGATGATGTGTATTCAGATGTCACACACAGAAAGACCGAGGCACTGCGGCAACTCAGCCCCAACACTGGCGCATACTTCAACGAAGGGGATAGCTATGAGCCGGAATGGCAGGAAGCGTTCTGGGGCGAAAGGTATTGGATGTTGAGAGGAGTGAAGAGGAGGGCCGATCCAAAGAACGTACTTTGGTGCCGCCGATGCGTTGGGAGTGAGGCTTTGGTTGAGACCAAGGATGGGCGGTTGTGTGAGGTGAATGCGGAGGGCCACGACGAGCTTTGATGCAAACCAGCTGAAGCATTGGCGGCTGTGGGCTGTGGATATCTAGACTTATGATTAATCTGCATCTATTTCGCATGGTTTTAATCGCTGATCTTGCAGTGTTTCCCTCAAAGTGTGGTCTAGTTGGCTTCATGGAAGACGATCTGGATGCCGGAGATGAAGTTATTTCCGGGCCGAGATAGAGCCGCAGGTCACTTAGTCATCAATGACATTGGAACATCGAACGCGACCCCTGTCTCCTACGCGAACGCGGTCTACAACATCGCTCAAGCAGCCGTACTGCCTACTGCCATTGCTACCGATGCAAGCCTATATGTCTTGCCTGAGCGGCTCCACACATCTTCATGAGTTTACCTAAGTTAGGCCCGACCTTTGACCTCACAACGCGTCCACTCACCTCCCGAATCGACCTCCCATACTCGCTGCTCGATTGCCAGACACAACGTACACTGTCTGATCATGTGGTCCAGGTGATCATGAGGTTAGAAAACTAGGCATAATCGGCAAGCTATAAGCCGGGTGCATGGCGACTTTGGGAATCCCCTAGACTCGACGCGTCGCATAGAAAGCTTGCGCGACTGCTCCACGCGTACAATTTCAAGCTGGCAATTGGTCAGGGATATGCCTTGGTGCCTCTTTGGACAACACGGAGGCAAAAGGATCCAGGATAAGAAGCCAGCAGCACATCGCAAGCCGGTGGTTGGTCGGAGAACACCGCTTTGACGCGGAGCAAGACGGTGCCAAGACATACACAGGCCCAATTTCCAACCTCTTCTGAAAAGATGGTACGTGGTTATCTTCACCGCTCGTTTATGTCCGGGTCTTCTCTTCAGAGAAACGTACGTACAGGCATATCAGGAAGGTACCCTTCTGAAGCCCTGCTGGCTGATGTGTCATGTCTGCGATCATGAGTCGTGGTAGACATGATCTTTCAAGGTGCTTTAGACTGCAACGGCGCACTCTGCAATCGGGCATTGTACCCAGGTTGTCTGGGCATGCTCGTAGTGTATGGCTTCCGGCAGGCATCGTTACATCAACCTTAACCCGTTGAGATTTGGTTGTTGAACACGGACTCCTCTGAGGCCTTACCCACAGACCGTCATCGTACATGAACACGCTTCTAGATTGACTCCACTCTGTTCTCCCAGCCTTCTTTCGGATCCTCGCCTCCAGCCTTTCGATCCTTTCAACGGCTATTCACGTGAAAGACCAGAACGCCATTCGAGCTGACTAGCAACTGAGGGTGTACTGCAAGCGTAGAAAGCACTGCCTTTCTCATGCACAGACCTTGGAATTCTCCCAAAGTGCTAATTACACACAACCATCATCCGACTTTTCCCGCCTTGCGGCCAACTAATAG